AGCAACGGATTTTAATGGCTTTAATGTCTTTTCTCACTTCCCACTTCGTTTCCACTTCACACATGCTATTATTCACATGTTTATCATTCTCATTCCCCACCATTCTCTCATAACCCTCCGGCTCGCAACATGGAATGCCTACATTGTTCTCATTCTAATCATTCTTATGCCTCATGCTGCAACTCAGATCTCGGAAAAGATGTCCGCCCTCAACCAACAAAAGGGCGCCACCCTTGAGGAGATGTCGAGTTTGGTGCAACAGCTGAGCAGTCGCCTTAACTCCAAACGAAGCCAGCTCACTCCGATTATTCAAGAGTTGCGTCCTCTTCGACAAAGGACTCAGGTAAGCCATGCTGTTGAAATAGAATAAAGAGCTAAGGGAATTAAAGAGAAGGAGGAGATGAAGAAGGATGAGGAGGAGGAGGAGAATTGCGATTTGTGGATGCGAAGATAAACTGGGTTTCGAAATATTCCACTTTCTAATGATTTTGGACTACCTTTCATTTTGCTTGGTTATGCGAATGGAGGAGATTCGTAAATGAGCCTTAGCTGAAGCCTCAAAATGAGTGCCTTAAACCTCTAACACTTTAGATTTGCGCGATATGTCCTGTTCACTGTTTTAGTTTGAGGGAATCCGCATCACTTGTTCGAACCTCATGGCTCTGCATACAGAGCCTTGTCGTTCATTGCCATCCACGTCAGGTCCCAAGCCGAAGTGTTAACCTTGCTGCCCTTCAACCAAGCCTTCAACTGCCCTTTACCGAATGACAGCCAATAAATCTTGCTTGTACAACATTTTATTAGTTGAATAGTTTGAAAGTTAATTTAAATATGCCTCAACCAAATGGCACAGAACATGCCGAATGTCAACCAGCCATAACCTTGTAAAAAGGCAACACAAGACTAGACTTATGCGTTAGGGAAGTATATGTTTTTGTTCAATTAATGTAAAAATAATTTGAAAATTCAGGCCTTAAATAAAACTTGTTTAACATAAATCCTTACTTGTTGGCCTGCCATGCATTTTGCTTAAAGAGTCGAACTACCCACTGGCATTGTGTGCTAAAAGGTCGAACGTATGCAGGTTCGATGCCCGTTAGAGACGTAGATGAGACCCAGACGAGGCCGAAAATGCAGTCCAGTCCAGCCGGGATGTGAATTGCAAATAGGGCCATATCATATTCTGTGATGGGATTGTCGATGAAACACTGTTGCGTTTGCTGTAGCAATCGACCACATTACTTATTTTTCGTTTTGTAGCCAGGTTTTCAAGACTACCACAGAACTGATATAAGAGTTGTATTCACCCTATTTCGTTTCAAGTGATAAAGCACTGATAATTGAATCTTCTCACAATGATAGGATACCCAAACGCACTCATGGCAGTGTGGTGAGGTGGTTACTGTGTCTAGATTACATTCTGCGTTCTCGCGCTTTGAGTCCCTCTGGGGGTGTTGATGAGATGATGTGTCAGTTCAGGCGGAGTCGAAACTGTAGTCCACTCTTGCCAGACTGAGAATGCTTTTCAAGAAACAAGGCCATTCGAAATTTAATGGAACCATAAGTCCTGCTTATGTGATCGTGTGAAAAATCAACTACCAGTCCTTCATCACTTTTGGTGACCTTGGCTGAATACAGCTTTTATTCGTAAATTAGCCTCACCCGAAACCAAAAGGGGGATCGCTTTGGAGTTGGTGTTACAGATTTGTGCTAACAAGTCCTCGGTGCACTTTCTCACTACTTCTATGACTCCGTGTCATCACTTCGTCAGTTCCAGTGCTTCACAGAACAATCAAGGAAAGACAAGGTAAACAAGAAAAAGTTGTTATATTAATTTTGTTGATTTTTTTGTAAATTATGATTTCTGGCTCTGAGGATGTCTGCCGTTTGGTCGAAAGATTAATTTGGGTCGTTGGAGGGTTTATTGAGGAATTATTTGCACACATCTACAGTCCAATGAGGATCCCTTCAACTCTCTTATTCAAAAGAAATGAAAAGTAAGCCAACAATTAACGATTTATGTTGCGACAATTTTCATTTGGAGTGTATAAACGTGGGTGTAGGGGATTCGTAAATTGGCTTTATCGGATGCCGAAGGGGGTTACCTTGGACTTTTGACGGTTAAACTGTGCGAAGAATACCTCGGCTCATGGTCCTGCGATCCCGATGACTCTGTACTAAGCTTTCGTCCGTCATCTGAGCGACATCATCAGAGCCCGAAATAATTATCTACAAAAAATCACCACTCACCATGCAATACCTAATTAAGATCACAAATTGGAATATAAGAAATAGGGTCTTAGCTGGCATTCCTTCTAGTTCAATGTTTTTTGTTGATTGTTCTTAAATAATGATTTCTGGCTCGGAGGATGTCCGTCACATGACGGATGAAAGTTCAGCACAAAGTCATCGAGGTTGCAGGAAGGTAAACCGCCTTCTTCTTTGCACAATTCAACAGTCACAAGTTCAAGGCAACCCTTCTTCTCAAACGAAAAGAAAGCTATGCTAGTATCAACGATCTCGGCTCACGGTCCTGATGTATGCGTGCACTACTTATGAGCTATTTCACAATTTAGGGCCAAAACCACAGTTCAGGTTTGTCAGGCCTTCTCTTCTCCTTGTTCCCTCTGCCGATTTCTTGCTCAAGTTCCTCCACTCATTCCTTCCCGTCAGGATGTTGTTTCTTTTGTCACTTTCTATCGACTCTTTGATCCTACGCTCACTTCGGAGTCTCCATATCCTGCAAAACGTTGGGTTTCAGACCGCAAGATCTGGTGTCCTGTAGCGTACACATGTTCGGTCGCCTCCGATTTTTGAACCCATAGACCCAGTTTTGTGTTATTATAGCCTCTTCAGTATGTGCCGACATGAGTTCCGGCATAAACACCTACCGCAGCAACGTAAACCTCTATAGCAACCTGTTTGTAGAAGGGATCGACGATGCAGTATCAGAAGCCTGGACGAAAGGTTGCCCTAAATTATGATTTCCTGTCATCCTACTTTTTTGGTATTAACAATTAATCTTAACGGATAAATGTTGTAAACTAAGATTTTTCTTAATCTTTCTAAGCCATGATGCTGCTGATCTACGTCTGATAGACACAGGCTTCTTGCTATCCGTGATTTCATGACCCCTACTTTTAACCCCATGAGTAGTATTAAAGAAGAAGTGCAGAAGAAAACCCGCATATTTGGGCATCCAATGCACACATATAACTCGATTTGTTGCTTTTCTACTTACCGGGACATCCAACATGGGCAACTAGTTGTCCATTTCTAACTCCATCTATCCATTAACCTAAGACATTATTCCAGTCACGCTTAGCCGTGCTGCACGATAGCAAACTAGTCGTCCATATAACCGACTTCTCGCCCATGAACTAAAAGTGCTTATTGAGTTGGCCATGTGGTTATTTGGCGAATTTGGAGACACACACGGTCCCATGGCTAAAGCTCGTGTTTGTTCATACAATTTATCATGAACGATAAAATGCATCCTTTTCTTCACCAACTTTGTCAATCTCACGCTTGACTTTTTGCCTATCATTTTCCATGTCATGATCTCTGGGAGCTGATGCAATGCGAATTCTAAAGCCTTTACGGCCCTAATTTCCGGTATATTAGTTTACATCTACACTACATCCTAACTTTAAGCAAATCTTCTTATTCTACCACTTGTTCATCCACTAGTTTAATAAGGACAAATGAATTGCTGATTGAAAACGTATGATATCTTGATACTTGTTTTAACTTGGCACAAATTAATCTTGATCGTTTGTACAGCACACAACTCTTGTTTTTAAAAATGATCTAAAATGAGGCTTCTTCTTTGGGAATTTCGCACAGGCCATATGCATTTAAGCATTTAATATCGGGCTGAAGTAGTCATTTTGCCTAAGCTTCTTTATTGTTTTATTAGCCCACCTATTCTTATTTAGAACCTCAATATGACTGTTAATTTGGGGGAACGGCCTATAACTTATTCTATGTAGAAAAATTCTTTTCGAGGAATCCCTTAATTTGGTGATGTTGGAGTACCTTTACTTTCGTTTTAAGAGGCGAGTGGAAGGGTTTCATAAGTTAACCACACTCCAAGCAGAAGGAGGATTTCTTTGAGGTTGTGACTGTGTACTTGTGTGCATAAATCCTTGACTCACCATCCCGCGATCTTGGGGATCATTGTCAAGCTCTTATCCGGACATCTTCAAAGCAGGACGCCAGGCTTTACGATAAGTCACCCAAAAGCTTTCTTCTATTCGTATTTCAGTGAAGTATCGTAGAGCATAGTGTCCTTCTTTGACGATGTCCGGCACATGATGAATGAAAGCTCAGCACAGATTCATCGAGGTCGCGAGACGGTGAACAGACGACTTATTCGAGCAAATCTACAGTCACAGCTCCGAGGTGATTCAATCTCCTTTCTATTCTCTTCTGCTAATAGATTGATAAAACATGTGTTCTACCAAAGCTTTCTCGACATACTTCTTACTACTTGGCATCACTAACTTTGTCAATCTCACGATTCACTTCTTGCTTATCATTTTCCAGTTTATTTTATTTGTGTGCTGACGTAAGGCAAATTCTAAAGCCTGTACACTCCCAAATACTCGTATATTAGTGTACATCTATACTACATCCAAACTTACAAGCAAATCTTCTTATTCTACAGTTTATTGATCCACTAGTTTAATAAAATCAAAAGAATTCCTATTTGAAACGGACAAAATCTTATGATTTGCTTTAGCTGACTAAAAAATCATGGTAGTAGGTTGGCGAGTCAAGGTATTTTCTGTACAATCGAGCATTCACAAGTCCAAGGAAATCTTTTTTTGGTGTCAAGTGAGGCCAGTTTATGAATCCCTTCCACCTACTTTTTCAAGCTAAAATGAAAAGTACGCCAAAGAATAATTATTTGACTTGAACAGGCTTTGTTGAAAGTTTAACTTTGAGAATTACTCTTAGTCGAATTGAACAAGAACATATACTTCCTTAATGCATTATTCTGGTCTTGTGCTGTTCTCTCTCAAATTTCCTGTCAGATGACATTCGGCTTTTTTTTCTGTTTTGTTCAGGCTAATCTTGTGTTAACTTTATTACTGTTTAATTGACGGATTAATGTGAGAGTAAGATTTATTGACTGACATTTGGAAAAGGGCAGTTGAAGAAGTGGACTGCTCTTGTCTAATTTTTTGTCTACAAGTACACTTTGAAACTGCCAGTATATCATCTCTACCAGATGTATTCATCCTATTACTTTTAAGTTGATGAACGGCGAGTAGGATAATCCAACTACCATTAGTTAATGACATTAAACGAAATAGGTTAAATAAATCTCATATATACTCTTTTCTAATGTTCAAAGATAAAACGGTACCTCATCGTATTGCTACCGGACGTGGCTGGTAATGAGAGGCGAGCCAATACTTTCAACGTCTTGGAGCAAATGAATTTGTGCAGATTTTACAGGCTACTTTATATGAACATAACGATTCAGATGTGAAGACCAAGATGTTGTGGCCTCGGGTATGGTCGCAGTCTCCTTTCGACTTATA